GAGATTCGCAGTGACATCATAAACCGTCTCAAAGATTCGCAGTGACATCAATAACCGTCTCAAGAGATTCGCAGTGACATCAATAACCGTCTCTCAGAGATTCGCAGTGACATCAATAACCGTCTCAAGAGATTCGCAGTGACATCATAACCGTCTCAAGAGATTCGCATGACATCAATAACCGTCTCAAGAGATTCGCATGTGCATCAGTACCGTCTCAAGAGATTCGCAGTGACATCAATAACCGTCTCAAGAGATTCGCAGTGACATCAATAACCGTCTCAAGAGATTCGCAGTGACATCAATAACCGTCTCAAGAGATTCGCAGTGACATCAATAACCGTCTCAAGAGATTCGCAGTGACATCAATAACCGTCTCAAGAGATTCGCAGTGACATCAATAACCGTCTCAAGAGATCGCAGTGACATCATAACCGTCTCAAGAGATTCGCAGTGACATCAATAACCGTCTCAAGAGATTCGCAGTGACATCAATAACCGTCTCAAGAGATTCGCAGTGACATCAATAACCGTCTCAAGAGATTCGCAGTGACATCAATAACCGTCTCAAGAGATTCGCAGTGACATTCATAACCGTCTCAAGAGATTCGCAGTGACATCAATAACCGTCTCAAGAGATTCGCAGTGACATCAATAACCGTCTCAAGAGATTCGCAGTGACATCAATAACCGTCTCAAGAGATTCGCAGTGACATCAATAACCGTCTCAAGAGATTCGCAGTGACATCAATAACCGTCTCAAGAGATTCGCAGTGACATCAATAACCGTCTCAAGAGATTCGCAGTGACATCAATACCGTCTCAAGAGATTCGCAGTGACATCAATAACCGTCTCAAGAGATTCGCAGTGACATCAATAACCGTCTCAAGAGATTCGCAGTGACATCAATAACCGTCTCAAGAGATTCGCAGTGACATCAATAACCGTCTCAAGAGATTCGCAGTGACATCAATAACCGTCTCAAGAGATTCGCAGTGACATCAATAACCGTCTCAAGAGATTCGCAGTGACATCAATAACCGTCTCAGAGATTCGCAGTGACATCATAACCGTCTCAAGAGATTCGCAGTGACATCAATACCGTCCTCAAGAGATTCGCAGTGACATCAATAACCGTCTCAAGAGATTCGCAGTGACATCAATAACCGTCTCAAGAGATTCGCAGTGACATCAATAACCGTCTCAAGAGATTCGCAGTGACATCAATAACCGTCTCAAGAGATTCGCAGTGACATCAATAACCGTCTCAAGAGATTCGCAGTGACATCAATAACCGTCTCAAGAGATTCGCAGTGACATCAATAACCGTCTCAAGAGATTCGCAGTGACATCAATAACCGTCTCAAGAGATTCGCAGTGACATCAATAACCGTCTCAAGAGATTCGCAGTGACATCAATAACCGTCTCAAGAGATTCGCAGTGACATCAATAACCGTCTCAAGAGATTCGCAGTGACATCAATAACCGTCTCAAGAGATTCGCAGTGACATCAATAACCGTCTCAAGAGATTCGCAGTGACATCAATACCGTCTCAAGAGATTCGCAGTGACATCAATAACCGTCTCAAGAGATTCGCAGTGACATCAATAACCGTCTCAAGAGATTCGCAGTGACATCAATAACCGTCTCAAGAGATTCGCAGTGACATCAATAACCGTCTCAAGAGATTCGCAGTGACATCAATAACCGTCTCAAGAGATTCGCAGTGACATCAATAACCGTCTCAAGAGATCGCAGTGACATCAATAACCGTCTCAAGAGATTCGCAGTGACATCAATAACCGTCTCAAGAGATTCGCAGTGACATCAATAACCGTCTCAAGAGATTCGCAGTGACATCAATAACCGTCTCAAGAGATTCGCAGTGACATCAATAACCGTCTCAAGAGATTCGCAGTGACATCAATAACCGTCTCAAGAGATTCGCAGTGACATCAATAACCGTCTCAAGAGATTCGCAGTGACATCAATAACCGTCTCAAGAGATTCGCAGTGACATCAATAACCGTCTCAAGAGATTCGCAGTGACATCAATAACCGTCTCAAGAGATTCGCAGTGACATCAATAACCGTCTCAAGAGATTCGCAGTGACATCAATAACCGTCTCAAGAGATTCGCAGTGACATCAATAACCGTCTCAAGAGATTCGCAGTGACATCATAACCGTCTCAAGAGATTCGCAGTGACATCAATAACCGTCTCAAGAGATTCGCAGTGACATCAATAACCGTCTCAAGAGATTCGCATGACATCAATAACCGTCTCAAGAGATTCGCAGTGACATCAATAACCGTCTCAAGAGATTCGCAGTGACATCAATAACCGTCTCAAGAGATTCGCAGTGACATCAATAACCGTCTCAAGAGATTCGCAGTGACATCAATAACCGTCTCAAGAGATTCGCAGTGACATCAATAACCGTCTCAAGAGATTCGCAGTGACATCAATAACCGTCTCAAGAGATTCGCAGTGACATCAATAACCGTCTCAAGAGATTCGCAGTGACATCAATAACCGTCTCAAGAGATTCGCAGTGACATCAATAACCGTCTCAAGAGATTCGCAGTGACATCAATAACCGTCTCAAGAGATTCGCAGTGACATCAATAACCGTCTCAAGAGATTCGCAGTGACATCAATAACCGTCTCAAGAGATTCGCAGAGTGACATCAATAACCGTCTCAAGAGATTCGCAGTGACATCAATAACCGTCTCAAGAGATTCGCATTGACATCAATAACCGTCTCAAGAGATTCGCAGTGACATCAATAACCTGTTGGAATCACTGAACAGGAATGATTAACTAGAATGAAAGGTACAATACCTAACCCTAGAATTGTGTACCCCTATAGGCTAACCCACTGTAGCCTAAACTAACACAGCATATTAATGTTTGAACACCCCCCATAGGCAAAGTGGGGGAGAACTAGGGGTCACAAGACCAGTCAAGGTAAAGCAAGGCAAAACAGCTCAGGTGATCTCAAGGATACCAACAAATTCCGAGCACAAGCAGTGGTCACAAGACCAGTTCACATGCCGGTTTATATATAGATTCACAGTGACAACAGACTCAAGAAGTAAGCAAGTGAGGTCCAGTAGGCACAAGGATTCCTAGAAGAGTGCAAAAGCGCTGATGGTCACAAGGCTGAAGCGCCTTGGTGAACACATCAGCATGTTGGCCTCAGAGGCCACGTAACGCAGGCGAAGCTGACCACCGCTGCTGCAGCTCTCCGCGAGGAAGTAACGCAGAGCAATGTGACTCGTTCTGTGCTCCAGTCTGTGCTCCGTCACACAAGGCAATGGCTGCCTTGTTGTCGACGTACAGCACGGAGGAGAACGAGGCTGCTCTCCAAGGTCGGTCAGCAAGTAGGTGAGCCAGCGTAGCTCCTGGCCGCCATGGCTTTGGCGTAGATCTCAGCCTCACAACTGGAGTTCGAGAACAGAAGAAAGCGAGTAGAACGCCAAGAAACAGAACCAGAGCCAAGACTGAAGGAGTAACCCTGAGACGACCGTCTCAAGAGTAGCCTGGTCGTCTGCCCAAGAAGCGTCTGAGTGCCCAGTGAAACAACTGGGACCGCCCTCCAAGCACTAGCCCATGCCCGACGTACTGCACAAGTAGCGCAACACCCTCTTAGCTTCGCATCCATGTGCTCCTTCCGGTGACGGCCGGAAGCGACATAGCGTGCAAGAATGCTGAGAGGGTATGCAAGGTCTGGTCGAGTGCAGGTCATCAGGTACATGAGGCAACCCACAAGCTCTGGATACGGGCCACTCGGCTCTACGGACTCATCCGAAGGCAGAGCTGAGAGCGAGTGACCGTAGGCAGGAGTGGGCTGAGGCGAGGAGTACGTGAAGCGGAAGCGCTGAAGGACCTGCTGCACATGTGTGACTGAGTCAAGGTGATGGTGCGGCGTGCTCTGTCCGGGTGATCCGCAAGCCAAGATAGCTTGTCAGTTCACCCAGGTCTGTGCACGTGTATCTCTTCTGCAGCTCCGACTTCACGTGGGCGAGTGCCACAGTGTCAGCAGTAGCAAAAACCAAGTCGTCGACGTACACAAGGACGTAGAACGGCGGCAGTGAGGTGTCGGTGCGTAGAAACGCGACGGGTCAGCAGTAGAAGGCGCGAACCCAAGAGCCGCAAGCGTAGTCCTCAGTGTGTCGTGCCACTCACGAGGCGCCTGGCGGAGACCGTAGACTGGCCGTCGGAGGCTCCACTGGGTACCAGGAGGGAACGACCCAGTGAAGCCAGGTGGACGGCGCAGCCAGATCTCCTCGTGCAGGCTGCCCTGCAGGAAAGCAGTGCTGAAGTCAAGCGAGTGGAGCTCGTAGTCACGCTGAGCGGCGACGTGCAGCAGAACCCGAAGAGTGGTCATCTTCGGGGTCGGGGAGAAGGTCTGGAAGAAGTCAACTCCCTCGCGCTGACTGAAGCCTCGTGCAACGTAACGCGCCTTGAAGACAGGCGGAGAACCCGGCGGCCGCTTCACCCTGAAAATCCACATGCCACTGACGATGTTCGCCCCAGGCGGGGGAACCTCGTCGACGTAGGTGCCTGTGGACTTCCAGGAAGCCATCTCTGTGTCCATGGCTGACTGCCACTGAGAGGAGTAGGGACCGGGCCATCGCCTCTGCGTAAGAGCGTGGGGTCGGGATGTCTGGTGCATCCGGGTCTCCCTCAGGGGCAACAAGCATGGACACGAGATGGGGCAAAGCGGCAGCAAAGCACTGGAACTCCTCCTGCCTGTCCTCAAGGACGTCAGTGCCAAGAGCACACTCACCCCCGACGGACGGAGGACAGACAGACTCAGACTCAGCAACTAGGCTAGCAGCGTAGTCTAGACGACAGCGAGCAGCAAAGTCGACAAGCTCAGCAACTAAGGCAGACGCAGCAGCAGACTCAAAGGAAGGGTCAGTGACAACAGTGGCCAGGAGACGCGTGACAGCAGGACTGGTAGCACGAAGAGAGTCTGACCCAGGGTCAGGAAGAGCAGGAAGAGAGAGAAGCAGGAGGAGACGGCAGTGGGACACGCTGTGGAGCAGTGGACGGACGAAGCGCCATCCGGTGAGTGCCTGGGACAGCAGGAAGACGCTGACGCTGGACTCGATGACTAGAGAGAGCAGTGCGGACAGGCGACCCAGGACGAGACTCAGGCGACGCAGGACGAGACGCAGGCTCACGCCGCTCAGTAAGACCTCCAGTCGGACCAGTGTAAGGAGCAGGACCAAGGAGAGAGGAGGCAGACGGTAACGCCGACTGCAGCTGGACAGGCTGAGGACACTCTAAGGAGGGAGGAGGAAAAGGAGGAGGAAGCTGACCAAGAACCTGCTGAAGGAGCGGAACAAAGTACGGCTGAGACCGAGCAGCGACACCAGAGCCAGCAGGGACACCCGCACCAGGGTCGGCAGCACCACCAGCAGCTCCAGCGTCCACGTCCTCAGCACCAGCGGTAGCTCCAACGCCCGGGTCCTCAGCACCAGCAGTAGCTCCAACGCCTGGGTCCTCAGCACCAGCAGCAGCTCCAGCGCCCGGGTCCTCAGCACCAGCAGCGGCTCCAACGCCCGGGTCCTCAGCACCAGCAGCAGCTCCAACGCCCGGGTCCTCAGCACCAGCAGCAGCTCCAACGCCCGGGTCCTCAGCACCAGCAGCAGCTCCAACAGCAGCGGGGTTCGTAACACGAGGCACGCCACTCCGAAGAGTGCAGCGCCGCTCGTACCACTCACGGATCCGCTCGCGGGAGGGGAGCTCCCGAACGGGAGAAGAAGTACTAGCACCAGTCCCAGTAGGACGTCCGGCTCGAGCGGTACCTCTCCGGAGGCTGCAGTACTCTAAGTACCACGCACGTAGCTGCTCCGAGGAGAGGGCTCCTCCAGGTGCAGGACTCCCAGACCTCGTACCTCCAGACGCAGAACCCCCAGACTCCGGACTCCGCAGCTCAGTACCACGAGGCTCCACCCCCCCAAGCTCAGCACCCTCAAGCTCCACACCCCCAGGCTCCACACCCCCAGGCTCCACACCCCCAGGCTCCACACCCCCAGGCTCAGCACCCCCAGGCTCAGCACCCCCAGCAGGACGAGAGTCGACAGCTACCTCAACAGGCTCAACCGGGTCTACCTGAGACACACCTGAGGGAGCGGCACCCTGAGGGGGAGGGGGTCTGCAACAGCAGCACCTGGCGAGAGGAAGAGAGGCGGGGGGGGGAGCGGGGCAGTGCGGTAGGGAAGAGGCGGTAGTAGGGGACGGACTCGTCAAAAGTGACGTCCTGGGAGGGCAAGACTCGGCGCGAGGTGGCGTGGTAAAACTGCCAACCAGACGCGTCCGGGACAAAGCCGAGGAAGACGCAGGGAACAGCACGGGAGGAGAGCTTGTCCGCAGACGAATCGCGGACAAAAGCTCGAGACCCCCAGACCCGGAAACGCGACGCATCGCCAACCTCCCCCGTCCACAGTAGCGTGGGCGAGGTCTCCGGCAAGGAGACACGGGGCCAGAGGTTGAGTTGATGCGCAGCGTACCGGACCGCAAACGGCCACAGAAAGTGGGGGCAGCCGCATGGATCAAGGAGGTACGGGCGACCTCCATGACCAGGCCAATGCGGCGCTCCGCAACCCCATTCTGCTGTGGAGAAGCCGGAAGCGTGAACGACTGCTCAATGCCGTGCTCAGCACAGTAGGCTGCCAAGAGGTCGGAGGAGAACTCACCACCTCTGTCAGAGTGCAAGCGCAGGACAGGAAAGTCCGAGTGAAAACGCTCGCTGAGCTGGAGACGGGCTCGGCGGATCCAAGGGATCAAGACATCAGGGACCTCACCCTTGGTGCGCAAGGGAAGACCGAGGTGTAGCGCGAGTAGTCGTCAACAACTATCAGGAAGTACCTCTCCTGACCCTGACCACGGACGCGGGCTGGGCCCCACACGTCCATGTGGAGTGTCTGCAAGGGAGCAGTCGTCGGGGGGAACGAGGAGGAGTGAGGAGCGGCGCGCTGCCGTCCCTCGACACAGGGGAGACAGGTAGGAGCAGGCGAGGGTGGGAGGGGAGGAAGGACCCTGGGCAGGCCAGAGACAAGGTACCTGGAGTGCATGGCACGAAGCCGCTGCACAGACGGTGGACCAAGGCGGTGGTGCCAGAGGACAGTCTCGTGTGCCAAAGAGCGACACGAGCAGGGGGCGGACAGCTGACCTGACGCGGACGCGGACGCAGTCGCAGCAACCTGAGGGGACTCAGTAGTCAGTGTGTACAGGTCCGACCCCGGCTGCCGAGTGAAGGTAGCCAAGTGACGGCCCGTACGAGCACACGTGCAGTGTGTCACGCGCTCGTAGGCAGGGGTGAACTGGTGAACACCCCCGTCCTGGAGTGCACAGCCTGCCACCAAGTTCGTAGAGAACGAGGGGAGGTGGAGACCTGACAGTGTGCCCGACGGGACCGCAGGGCAGGGAAGGACAGTGGAAGAGGTCGCAATGACCGGACCCCCAGAGGGGTCAGCAAGGGAGACAGCAACTGGCCGAGTAAGTGGCTCAAGGGCAGTGCGGTCACGAAAGAAGCAGCGAGAAGCACCTGAGTCCAGTGTGAAGGTGTGCAGTGCGGCAGTCGACGCAGTACCAAGGGGGGGAGACACACGAGCACCTAGAGCAGCAGCCTCACCAGCACCTGGGGTAGCCGACACGTGAGTACCTGGAGCGGCAGACGCACTGGCCCTAATGCCCGGGTCGGGCGGCACACACAAGTACTCAGCACCCTCTCCACTAGTAGACATCACATACATGGCAGATAGAATAGCATCAAAGTCTAGAGCATAGATATCAATCCCCTTCTTCAGGAGATCAAGCCAGCGGGGCAGCTCAGTGGCCTGAGGGAACTGAACACGCCAAGCGTCGTCGAGACGAGAGAAGCAGCGCTGTGTGGCGTGCGGTCGTCCACACTGCTGACCAGTGCGGTCACCAGTGCGAATGACGTACGTGCAGCTAAGACCACCCCCACCCCCGTGCTGAGAGTACCACTCACGGACCTCCTGGGGCGAGAGGGTGTGCTGCTGGCCCTGGCCACCGCCAGCGCCTCCACGGCCACCACCACCGCTGCCACCTCCTCGACCACCCCAACCCCTGCCGCCGCCTCGTCCACCGCCACCCCAACTGCCGCCTCCACTCCTGCCACCTCCCCCGCCGCTGCCGCCACCACCCCCACCGCTACCACTCGCCCCTCCAGCCGAGCCACCACCCCCACTGCCTCCACCGCCCCCACCGCCGCCTCCCCCGCCGTCACCGCCACTACCCTTGCCCCCTTTGCCCTTGCCGCTGCGGCGTCCGCTCGAGGCAGACGCAGTACCGACCTTCTCAGTACCAAGAAGGTCGACAGCAGCAGCAGAGGCGACAGAGGGAAGAAGGGGGGAAGGAGAACACCCCTCAAAGAACGGGGTACGGGGGTCGCCACGAGAGGCACCTACACCGACTATGCTAGCCTCAGCTGCAAGTAGCTCCTTCTCGAGGAGGGCAATGGTGAGCTCAGTGGGGCAACGAGCTAGGAAGTGGTCCCTGACAGCACGCAGTGTGTCAGGGAGGCGGGTGACTAGGTGATAGAGAGTGAGCCAGAGTGGAGGGGGGTGCGTGGCAAGGAACTCAGCAGGCATGGCGGCACGGAAGCGGGCCTCACTAGTACGGAGGTGCGTGATGAGGTCAGCGACTGTGTGAAAGGAGGCCAGGTCGGGAAACAGGTAGGGGAGGGAGAGACGGCCTAGTGCGGCAGAGGCAGGTGAGGAGTAGCGAGCAACTACAGCTGTGTACAGTGCCGGTGCAGTCTTGTGGTGACCAAAGTGCTCGCGTTCGTCTATCGGCAGGGAGTTGCGAATGGCGAAGCGAGCGTGGGCATCACGAGTCTGCCACTGTGAGCGAGCAGTGCTGTCAGCAGTAGCAGCAGGGGCAGTGACAAGGCCTAGGGCGTGATCGTACAGTGAGATGTCATCCTTGGCTGTGAGCTGTAGGTAGAGGTGCAGGTCATCGAGCCAGGTGTCAAACTTCACAGGGCGGCCCTCAGCATCGAACACGAGAACCTGTGGGCTAGCCATAGGAACAGTAGAAATAGCAGCAGTAGCGGTAGGAGAAGCAGGTAGGACGAACCAGGTAGGGTAGGGCGGCGCGGCTCGGTTCAGGTCGGGTCGCGGCTCGGCTGGGTGGCGCGGCTCGGCTCGGGGCGCGCGGCTCGGCTCAGGTCATGGCGGGGACGGGCCGCCCGCTCTCCCTCTTGTGCTGCGGCGGGAACGGGCCGCCCGGGGCCTCTGGGTGGTGGGCACGGGTCGGCGAGGTAGGCACGGGGCCGGTTGGGGCCCTAGAGGGGCGAGCGCGGGGCCGATCGGAGCCTGAGCGGGGCTAGCGCGGGGCCAAACGGGGCCTTGACGGGGTTAGCAAGGGGCCGACGGGGCCTGAACGGGGCTAGCGCGGGGCCGACGGGGCCTGAAACGGGGCCGAAGGGGCCTGAAACGGGGCTAGCGCGGGCCTGATCGGGGCCTGAATGGGGCTAGCGCGGGGCCGACGGGGCCTGAGAGGGGCTAGCGCGGGGCCTACGGGGCCTGAAACGGGGCTAGCGCGAGCCGACGGGGCCTGAAACGGGGCTAGCGCGGGCCGACGGGGCCTGAGAGGGGCTAGCGCGGGCCGACGGGGCCTGAAACGGGGCTAGCGCGGGCCGACGGGGCCTGAAACGGGGCTAGCGCGGGCCGACGGGGCCTGAAACGGGGCTAGCGCGGGGCCGACGGGGCCTGAAACGGGGCCGACGGGGCCTGAAACGGGGCTAGCGCGAGCCGACGGGGCCTGAACGGGGCTAGCGCGGGGCCGACGGGGCCTGAAAAGGGGGCCGACGGGGCCTGAAACGGGGCTAGCGCGGGTCGACGGGGCCTGAGAGGGGCTAGCGTGGGGCCGACGGGGCCTGAAACGGGGCCGACGGGGCCTAAACGGGGCTAGCGCGGGGCCTGAACGGGGCCTTAAAGGGGCCGACGGGGCCTGAACGGGGCTAGCGCGGGGCCGTCAAGAGGGGCCTCTAGGGGCGTGACACGCCGAGGCGCCCTAGGGCACGGGTAGGTAGGTAGGTAGGTAGTGACGTAGTGGTGGGCCCTTAGAAAATTTCGGTCCTAGGAAGGACCTGCTCTATACCATGTTGGAATCACTGAACAGGAATGAATGAACTAGCAATGAAAAGAGTACAAGTACCTAACCCTAGAATTGTGTACCCCCTATAGGCTAACCCACTGTAGCCTAAACTAACACAACATATATAATGTTTGACATAACCGTCTCAAGAGATTCGCAGTGACATCAATAACCGTCTCAAGAGATTCGCAGTGACATCAGTAACCGTCTCAAGAGATTCGCAGTGACATCAATAACCGTCTCAAGAGATTCGCAGTGACATCAATAACCGTCTCAAGAGATTCGCAGTGACATCAATAACCGTCTCAAGAGATTCGCAGTGACATCAATAACCGTCTCAAGAGATTCGCAGTGACATCAATAACCGTCTCAAGAGATTCGCAGTGACATCAATAACCGTCTCAAGAGATTCGCAGTGACATCAATAACCGTCTCAAGAGATTCGCAGTGACATCAATAACCGTCTCAAGAGATTCGCAGTGACATCAATAACCGTCTCAAGAGAT